GTACAATCAAGACGGCTCACGTTCTTCAAATCAAATCATTTATACCCAAAACCGCCAAAACTTTTCATGATTATTGTATTTTAATAATCAAGAAACCATTTCCCTTCCACCCCTCCAGCCCCCACACCCCACTCCCTCACCATATTCCCACTTATAAATACCTTTCTTCCTCATCCATCTTCTCTTTACGATTCCATAAACCTGCAACTATTTTTCGACGAACAACAAACCTGCAACTTCATCAACAATGGCCTCTTCCACCTCCCACGAATCGAACAACAATGACAACAGAGTCCAATCCACCGGCGCCGACAGTCACGCTATCGTCTTCCTACCCATGAAGCCAAACAACCACTCTATCGAACTCTGGAACACCCTGTTTGACGACAGATTTGCAGTTATGATCGAATTTTTCAAGAACTGCATTCTTCTTCCTGCCCTCACTCTTGCTGACACCGGCATACCCATAAAGTACGTCCAACAATATTGGCAAACGTGCGAGTTTGAACCGGAAAACCACAGAATAATAGGGGACATGGACGCCCCTAACGATATGATATGCTCGCTCAAGATATCGTGGGTTAAGGTTTCTCGGGTTCTGTGCATTCCCACTCGATGGGAACTTGGAATTGAACAATATGACGAACCACCAACCATCGACGACATCCTCCGCTTCGTCAAGATGCTAGGTTACAATTGTGGCCTATGCAACGTATCAGACTTCAAACGCCAATTCCTCCCGCCAATGTGGAATATGTTTTTCTCCATTCTCAACAGGGCCCTCACATGCAAACTGGGCTCATTGGACCAAGGGAACATAAACATCATGACTATCATGTATGGGCTGTTCTTCAACTTGAACCTCGACTACGCCTTCCTGATCTACAACGAGATTCATACGGCAGTGGTCAAGAAATGTAAACTTCAAGCTGCTGGCAAGCCTCTTTCTGCGGTTCTCTTCCCTCGCTTCCTCGCCCTCTTCATTGGGGACGCAATGAGGCAGCATGGTCTACCAACCGAGGAGCCCTTCACCCCTGTCTACAAGATGCATGGACATCGCCCAACCCTCTCGAAGGAGGGTTACAGTATCAACCGTCCACTCTCCAGGGCTATGCTCAATGTCATCCATCGACATCTGAGATACGCCAAGCCTATGAACGCTCTATGTTGTCCCAGGAACCGAGGGCAGCTACCCCGGAGTGATTAGAGCCGTCCCCCCCACCAAGCGAGGGAGCACATGAGTCATCTTCATCGGATGATGAAGATGATGCTACTCATCGTGCCTCCCCCGGCCCTACTCATACACTTCCTCAACCCACTTCCCAAAGGGCAACCACATCTACTACCCCTGGCGATCAAAGCCAAAGGGGTATTAAAACAGGACGACCCAGTCCAATCCCAACCCCAGCCAGCCATCCAGAGGCCATTCTTTGGGCCTCTGGAGATGTATCAGCCGAGGAACCACATTTTCCATCACCCTTCTCTCAACAGAGAGGTGATGAAGACATAAGAGCCCCCTTGCCTCAAGGCTCGACACATCCCACCACATACACAGAAGCATGTGTTGCTTTTG